TAACATGGTTTTATACTTTATAATTACTTTTCACATGATTTTTCAAAAGACCTTATATTGAGGGTGCATAGTCTAATTTATTTTAAATATTCTACTTACGCCCCATTTGCTTAGTTATTTTTATTATTATTATTTAAAATTAAAATCATAAAAACGAAATATGATAAATTAAAAAAAAAGAAAAAAAGATTTGAGTCAGGGACCATATTTCATGTTTTTAACCTTGTTCCTCATCCCACTCCATTCCCACTGACTTAAAATGGGTGCTTTAACCTTTTGTTTCCTGACCGCCAATGGCCGTGAAACCACGACCTGGGGGGAATCAGAAAAAAAAATTGAGTGGACATATATTCACTAATTTGATAAAGATTGAGGACTAAATCTGCAATTTACCCTATATGATGATTTTTTTTTTTTTTTTAAGTTATTATGCATTGAAATAATTTCAGGCGTTGAATAAATAAGAAAATTATTATACTTTCAGTTGGCATGATTGATTTCCGTAATCAGTGCATTAAAAAACTCACGTAATATCAAGAACATGCGTGAAATGGTAGAAACCAAAAATGATTATTCTATTTGTACACTACACAATAGATTACACCACAAATATTTTATTGTATGTGAACTTTGAAAAAAATATAATACTTTGTGTACATCATTATATACACATAGTACAATCCAACCAAAAAATCAGTACAACGAACACGCGTCGAATTATGAATATGAAGTGTCCCATGGTAATAATGGACCGACACCTGCTTTTGCAAAATCCCTCTGAAGTCCAACCGGACACATTCACTCTTTTCTGAGTTTTCTCTATTCTAAACGCCAACCCCATTTTTATTTACATCCCCTGAACCTAGCCCCACTCCTACTGAGTAAATAGAGCCATTCTTGGTGCTTTCGAAACGTATACACATTATTATTTTCTCTCCCGTCTCTCTGCTGCTGTTTTCTATTTCCCCATTTGATTATATAACTTACCATATACTAGGAAAAGGTTGTCTGTTTGGTGTTGAAGTGTGCTGTCCTCAAAATACTCGAACGGAAAAAACACATGGCTTCTTGTAGCTACTTCTTGCTCTTGTTTATCAATATTTGCTTGTTGTTAGGCTCGTCTTATTCTGAAGATCCATCTTTTAGCTACGAATTTGAGGTCTCCTATATTACTGCTTCTCCTCTTGGTGTTCCACAGCAGGTATTGTTTTTTTGTTTTACGGTTTTTTGTATAGAATCTGTTGATATAATCGCTTTTAGTGATATGGGTCTGCTTATAGCTTACTTGAGGGTGATGGGTTGGATTTAGATTGTAAAAAGTTCGAATCTTTAACTNTGTGTATTGCAGGTTATTGCTATAAATGGGAAGTTTCCAGGTCCCACAATTAATGTGACCACTAACAACTACGTTGTTGTCAACGTGAGGAACAAATTAGATGAAGATCTCCTTATGCATTGGTAGGGTTTTTGGAGTAATTCAGATTTTGAAATTGATTTGAAAATTTTCATAAGTTTTTAGTAAGATTTGTGAATTTGATGGGTGTATTAGGTCTGGTGTACAACAAAGGAGGAGTTCTTGGCAAGATGGGGTTCTTGGAACAAATTGCCCTATTCCTCCAAAGTGGAATTGGACTTATGAATTTCAGGTTAAGGATCAGATTGGGAGTTACTATTACTTCCCTTCACTCAATTTTCAGAGGGCTTCTGGCGGTTTTGGGACGTTTATCATTAATAACAGGGCTATTATTCCTATTCCTTTTGACACCCCTTATGGGGATATTACAATGGTGATTGGTGACTGGTACACCCAAAATCACACGGTTAGTATTCATGCATAGTTGATCTCATGTTTATTTGAGTCGGGAAAGTAAGTTCTTTAAATTTATTGGTGAATGTGGAGCTTTATCTATATTTAGGCTTTGAGGAGAACTCTTAATTCCGGGAGAGATCTGGGAATGCCAGATGGTGTACTAATTAACGGAAAAGGACCTTATAGATACAACGATACTCTTGTTCCTGATGGCATTGATTATGAAACAATTACGGTCCACCCAGGTGAGTTATGTAATTACTAACTCATAAAGACAGCCATTTATGTTTGAGCATAAATCTTTATTAATAAACACTATTGGCTTCAAAAGACACATGCACAATTGTAGATGTATAATTACATTGTGTAAATGGCAAATGTTGAGAGATTTGACTTGATATGTGGTAGTTGGAGTAGTTCTCTCATATATTATGTCTTTAAGAACCACTCTTTACATAATTATTTTGCCTCCCAAAGCCTTTATTCGTACATAAGAAAAGGGAAGAATTAGCCTAATGGGAAGTAACACCATTCAAGTTGGGGCTAGCACTCACCATAATTTGGACAGGCTTTAGCATGATAATGGAAACATTTGGCGAAAAGATGGAAGAACTTGATTGTTTGCCAATAGGAAATAAAAACCTTGACTTCTGAGTTAGCCAACGAATGAATTCCAGATTACAATAGCTTCATGTTGTTCTGTCTGGTTCTTCATTTAGCATTCCTATGTACAAATTCTAATAAAGCATTAGTGAATCGTAATGGTGAAAGTTCTGGTATTAAAATAAAAAACATACTTGTATAACTTCCATTTCAAATGCTGTATATTTGTATACTGGACAGTAATAGTACGTTCTTCTGCAGGCAAAACTTACCGGATTCGTGTAAGCAATGTTGGAATATCAACTAGTTTGAACTTCCGAATTCAGAACCATAACCTGCTTTTAGCAGAAACTGAGGGTTCATATACAGTACAGCAGAATTATACAAGCTTAGATATTCACGTGGGTCAATCATACTCGTTTTTAGTAACCATGGATCAAAATGCAAGTAGTGATTACTACATTGTTGCTAGTGCTAGATTTGTGAATGAAACGGTGTGGCAAAGAGTCACTGGTGTTGGTATCTTGCATTATACGAACTCTAAAGGGAAGGCATCTGGTCCTCTTCCCGACCCACCACAAGACCAATATGACAAAACCTTCTCGATGAACCAGGCGAGATCAATCAGGTCGGTTTGCCCTTTGCTCATTTTCATGTTGTATCTTAAAATTTTTTGATATTTACTCTCTTCAACTATAAAAAACGGTTAAGAATTGACATTAGAAGATATCTATTGCATTAAATATGTACATTATACTAGGGTCTTATTTGCAATGATGCTGGTGGAGATTGAATCTACTTGTTCATCATCAAATTTATATGAGTTTCTCATTATAACAACTGCAAATTCTGAACGTGTGGGATTTTTTCTCTTTTTCCATCCAAGGTCTTTTGCTCACTGGTCAGTTTTTTGGGTGTTTTTCACTGTGCAGGTGGAATGTGTCTGCCAGTGGTGCTCGCCCGAACCCGCAAGGTTCTTTTAGATATGGTTCGATTAATGTGACTGAGGTGTATGTGCTTAAAAACAAGCCGCCTGTAATGATTGACGGGAAGCGGAGGACTACACTCAGTGGGATTTCCTTTACCAATCCTGCTACGCCAATTAGGCTTGCAGACCAATATAAATTGAAGGGTGTGTACAAGCTCAATTTTCCCACTAGGCCACTTACAGGTCCACCTCGGATGGAAACATCTGTTATCAATGGTACTTATAGGGGATTTATGGAAGTTATATTGCAGAACAATGACACCAATGTGCAAACATATCACGTCAATGGATATGCATTTTTTGTGGTGGGGTATGATATGAATTCTTTCAGTATTCTATATATCTTTAATCAGAATGCGAGACATTGTTTTCCCATATTGTGATTAACCACTTCGAATAATTGAATTACAGAATGGATTATGGTGAGTGGACTGAAAATAGCAGGGGCACATACAACAAGTGGGACGGAATTGCTCGCACTACGGCCCAGGTAGTTTTTGAAAATTTTGTTTTAATGACATCACTTTTTGCAATCCTGCAATCATTTCTCAGAAATTAAGCAAACTTATTTTCACACTGAAACCATGAAAATATAGTCATGGAAAATCAATTACAAAAAATTTGAATAAAAAAATCACAACCTGTTTAGTGAACTTATAGTTTTGCATCTAGTTTTCTAGCTGTTTAGGGCCCGTTTGTTGTCGGGATTTTTGAAAAGCCAGAAGTTGCCTCTGATATTGAGAACCTATTTTTGGACATGTTTGGATAAAGAAAAAGCAGAAGCTATCCAAATAGTTACTTAAAAGCCTTGGAAGAAAGAGGCTACGTTTTCTTCTCCTCTGTAGAAAATAAAATATTTTCCGTATCTTGCCATTCTTACCTAAAATAGAAGAATCTGTTCGCTTGAATATGGGTAAAAAAGGTTGTGGTTCTTGAAAGTACTTCTACTGCAGCTCTTCGATAAGTCCAGTCATAAAACACGAGTGATGATTGCAACTAAAGTTGTTGCCTTGAAAATATATCATGTTTTAGAAGAGGAAGTTGAAAATTGTGAATAATTTATCTATTCGAGATCTAGTTCAAGTGAACAATGAGCTCAACTCTTATGTTATATATTGGCAACATATACACTATGGGCTTGTTTGGTGCATGGTATTGGACGATACTAGATAGGACAACATACAAGAATTTGTTTTTCTTAAAAGATTCCATATCCTCTTTTTTTTTTTCCCCCCGGAAGTTGCAACCGTGTCCTCATTTTTCATCCATTGTGTAGGTCTACCCCGGGGCATGGACAGCCGTCTTGATCTCACTGGACAATGTCGGAGTTTGGAACATCAGGACTGAGAACCTCGACTCATGGTACCTAGGCCAAGAAACTTACATCAGGGTTGTCAATCCAGAGCCCAATAACAAAACCGAGTTTCCAATGCCAGATAATGCCTTATTCTGCGGTGCACTTCACAAGTTGCAAAAGTGCGCATTTGAACATCACTGCCATCTTAAATTCCGAATTTGCATTTTAACTGCTTAGTTCAGCTTTTACTAATTTTTACCTCATTTTTCCTTTTTTCGCTTATAGGCCACAAGATATATCTTTTGGTTCTTCAATTGGGAGCAATGGATCAAAATTGTTACTCGGTTTGCTGCTGATGGTATTTGCACTTATTTCGACATTCCATTAAGAACTTAGTATGTGATGCTGGCTTTATTTTGCTTATGAGGGTTGTACTTGTAGTGGTGTTAATATGAATCTTGTAAGTCACATTCACCATTTTTCTTTTCTTTCTTATTTTTATTTTTTTGCCGGATGTAATGAGCCCGGGATCGCTAATTAATTCATTGGAATTCACCATTCTTTTAATATTTTAACTTGAATATAATGAAGACAATTAACGAGTTTTTCTTAGTTTCAGCAGAATATCAGACGCTGCCCGGGATCGCTAATTAATTCATTGGAATTCACCATTCTTTTAATATTTTAACTTGAATATAATGAAGACAATTAACGAGTTTTTCTTAGTTTCAGCAGAATATCAGACGCTGATATTTCCTTGAATGAACGAGCATAGGTTTGATGTACTTGTTTTCATATTCTTGAATTTATTACGTAGACAAATGCGCGCGCACATCTTAATTGAAGTTCCTCGTCTTTTCTCCAGAAGTACTTTGTCTACTTGTCTAAAATCGATTTGCTCCATCAGTTTTTGATTATTTTCTATCTGCATTATGAAGCAAAGTATTTTGTTCAATTATTACTAGGTTTAGCGAATTGCCTAAATACATGAGAAAAAGTGCGGATTGCATCAACCCTTCTTGAATTAGACTCATCTATGGTACTAAGAAAGGGAAACTCGTTATTTTTGAAGAAGTTTCTTTTCCAGTTCTCCCCGTCAAGAAATGGACATATCAGTTATTTGGTCAATTCTCAACTCGAATGGTAATTCTCAGTAATATTGCAAAAGTTTGTGCCTGAAACAAATAAATAAAAGAACAAATGAGCACTGACTGGAGACACAAATCAGATGCTGAATTCTAAAAAATCACATAATTATTAAAACACGAAACAATCACAAGCTACCATTTAATTTTCTGTTGATTCCCAATAATACAAGAAAATTAGCCCTCGGGACATATCCCAGTAATGTAAAGGACAAGAGTGAGATAATTTCAGTCTTCCTGACAGTCGCAGCGTGAGTGTTCGATTCCTGAGATATGCAATTGGACTCTTTGTGGGCATCAGTGTATAGGCAAGCTCTTGTTCCCTGGTTGGGGCACATCCCACGATTTACCTCCCTCACAATGCTCCAGGGGCGGACGGGGCGGTGGGGGCCCTCAAGGTTGAGGTTCAACCAATTTTTATTTATTTTTTTTTTTATTATTTTTTTTTTTAAAAAGGAAAACTAGGCGACACTACTTGTAGAATACCGAGAGTTGGGGAGTATCATCTCAAGTCCCTTCTGCCCCAACAGAAATCACGCTATAACCTCCAGAATTTAAGTATACTCATTTTAGCAACATATCCAAACAGGGGAAAAACAGAAAAGAACGGGTCAATGCACCTACTTAAAAATAGGACTAGCCCATTAACTTGGCATCGAGTTTTAGGTGCCGTTTTAATATCATTCTTTCCTTGTTTCTTTGTACCGATAGACAAGACACAAAAATATGCCATGGCCTAAATAACTCAATTTTCTTCCATGAATTATTTGTGTTAATGGATTAGTTCGAACTAAAACTTGAGATAAGGGAGTTGAAGTTACTAAATTCTGAGGAGTCAGTGATTAGTGTCTAGAAGTGTTTCAAAGATATATCATTTACAAGACATTTTACATTCACTTTGTTTAAAAACACTAATGTTAGTCTTTAATTTTAATTCTCTTGCAATAAATTCAATTTTCATAAATATATGGCTAAAAGTGCAATTAATCGAAATACGTATTTAAATACATGTATACATGAGTATTATACTTTTGAAAGAGTATTTATTTGATGTATTTCACATATAGTTTTAAGGTAGAACAAGTGGAGCAAGTGGAGAAAAGAATGTTGAAAAGTCAAGAATATTAACTGTCATGAATAAAGATGCAGCTGTCTCGGTAAAATTGTCATAACTCGATCTGTAGATATCCAAACAAGCCAAAATTATCGTGCAAAATCCAGCTTGTTACCTGCCGGATACAACTTTTTTTACCGGTGAAGCAGTACTCATTATTTTTGTCATATATGGAGTTATAGAGATCCAATGAATTTGATATTTGTACTAATAGAAAGCTAACTTAAGTGGCAACAATTTATCTGTTAATCATAAGTCCAAATTCGCTGCACAATGTATCTGAAAATTGACATCAAGTTGCATGTTCCAACATTCTTGAAGTTGGACAGAAACAAATTGCATTGTCCACTTATATTTTGGATGTTCTTTTGCCTATAAAAGGGGACCTTGGCCAAGATTTTGAGAAAATCAATTCCTCTTCATCATAGTCTAGTTTCCTTCATTTTCTTTATAATATTTTATTATGTGTTTCTAAACCATTAGTTAGGGCTAGGGGTGAAATTTTGGTGAATGTGTAGTATTGTCTTTGATCTTTCACTTTGTTCTTCAATGTAAGTTGAAGTATATGTTTTACAAATGGTTTTGGTTTGTTAAAGACTATGATTTATTGTTGACAAATTTTGGCACAATAAATGCTTAGATAATCTCTACCTACTAACAACTTATTTTGACATATTCTCTCAAACAATTTTCAAGATCTATCTTTTAGTATATTTGCGATCAATGTTTTATCTTCCGTAAGAGATCACTCCTTAGTTGATTTCCATATAAGTTAAATAAAAAATCAAGAGTAATTTCTACCCATTTATCCGAAGTGAATCCCCAACGCTCTAGTGTTCTTCTCTATCGTATTTTCACCAACCATTTACCACTCATAGAATAGTTTATTTCCTTCCAATTCCCTATGGTTTGAACTCAGACTTTCGAGTTTACTACTTACGACAACCTGCACTTGGGTTTGCAACCTTAAATTTGTAGCAGTCAGTATCAGTGTATGTCGAATTACTCCACATATAGTTCCTCGAACCACATTTTCTAAACGAACCGGAGCCAATTTGAATTGATCTTTTAAAAATCTGCTATAGAACGAATACGTTTATTTTTCAAATGATTCATATCGTCAAGTTTCTATCCATTCCAAATTTTAGTTCAGTTAGGCTACATGCATGAAAGTGTGAGGAATACAAACGAAATCAATGATGAATATGGTCCAATGTGAACTAGAATCTCACATGTCTGTACGATCTTTAGGAGAGTAAGCTAATGTAGCAAGTCCCATACCATTATCAAAATTAGTATGACATTGTGCAATGAAGGGGTACATATAATGTTACGAAAAAAAGAGAATTGGTAATATATAAATAATGAGAACACAAAATTTACATGGAAACCCAAGATGGGAAAAAAATCATAGGTAGAGGTGAAGAAAACTCATTGTATCAAAAATGAGTACAAGAGATGCAACTACTCCGAGTATATAATATCAATGAGACCCTAACATATAATGGAGTTCTCACAGAAGAGGAATAAAACCCCTAATTTTTTTCATAATTTTAGTTTCATGACAAATGTAGCACCGTGAACTTTTCAGAATGGGTCAAACAGAATTCAGGTCACCGTATTCAATCATATACATACATAAATGTGTCTCTCAACTTCAACTTTTAATTTATAAAAACTCATCAAAGCTAATTAAATGCATAATATTTGTCTTTCAACTAGCTCTTACAAGTTGATTAGCCAAATAAGTCTCCCAAAAAATTCTTCCACTTCATTGTGAGTCTAGAAACGACACGTTAATGATCTTGTATTTTATTCCTGGATTGTGACTGCTATAGGATTCAAGACTAAATACTTGGACGAATCAACCTTACACCCTTACTTAGGTAAACTATGTCAATTACAAATAACTGATAGAAGTCTAAGAGTATCACACTTTGTCTCTCCTTTTCGGATGAGATAATCATAGTCATTATTCTTTATACGTTGATCAGGAGATGAGAAGTTATTAATTGAGTGTAGGTTTCAACAGGTGCAGATTTGAGTGACACATTAATGGATCGAATGATAAGCCTTATTGATCTTTGTACATATTCAAAATTCCGTTTGATTGAATTTTCTATACAACAAATTATTCTTCATGAATGTTAATTCTTGTGTTGGCAGTTTTGGGAACAAAAAGGTCAAATTGTAATTGTTCCAAAGTTTGGGGTTAATTTATCAATATTTAAAGGTTAGGGGTCAATTTTTACATGTGTAAAAAATTGGGGGACTAAGTTGCAATTCTGTCAAAGTATGTTAGGGTTTGAGTAATGAAGTAGGGCAATATGTGTCGCCGAAGTTTCGCTAGCTGCTCGCCAAGTGGTTGCTCGAGCGTCAAAAACAGAAAGTCTTTCGCTCGCTTATCGCCTCTACTTCGCTTGAGAGAAACAACGTAGCTCGTTTTTCGCTCGAGCGACAGTATTATCTACAGAACCCTATTTTCCTTCTTTTGAGATTTTGACCCGACCTATATGACCCAAAAACCTCTCATATAAATTGTACTATGTCGTTTTCCAGTTTTCTAAAAAGGATTGAATTTGAAGAAAATTATCTACATCTTGAATCCTACTTTCAATCCCACATCATTGATCTTTAGTGCAATCATATAAAAACATCAAAAATATCCTCATCAAACATTGTAAACACAACCTTCCAGAGCTTTTGTGGATTCTTGAAGATCAAGGAAGGAGATCGGTATTTCGATCATTGGAGAATGGGGAGTCGATGAAATCAAGAGCCAGGTATTGGTGTTGCATACAATCCATAAGGGCTAGGAGTTGGGAATTGGTGCAGGATCACTCATACCAGGAGGACTTTAAGAAAGATACAATCTGGAGGTTAGAAAAACTATTGTGAGTTGAATCTGACGGATTGTAAGTAACCTTTTTCGTTAATAGTGGATTCCTATGAATTTATCTTGACAAAATAATATTTGTCACTTGTTGCATTTACTAAAAAATTGGTTAAAAATTTAGTATAAACACCTATTCAATCCCGTCTAGGTGTAGATTGGGTCAAATTACGTTATTTCAATGAAGATGTTTTAATAATAAAAAGTCAACTGCACCTTTTTTTTTCTTTTTCTTTTTTGCCATAGGTTCTTAATGAAGTGAATCTAATAAATGCCATCCTAGTGAGGTCAGTCCTGACCTACGGTGATCTCGGGGGTGCTATCATTGACGGTGCTTATTTCATGATGCTATTATTGAACTTTCCCAGAAACAGGTATTTCTTGAAGTTATCATCCTTTTGCCCCAATATTTTTAAAGTTAATTCTGTTCATTTTAGGTATAAATGCTCGAAATATGTCTAGAAAAATATTAATGTTGATGACTTGAGTAGTTGCTGATGCTAATGATAAGATAAAGGATTCATTAATTTCGGTTGCCAAAAGCTCTTGGACTTTTAAAAGCGTGCGCTACGGGGTCAACCTATCTACAAATTAAGTTGTAGTCTCGACTACTTTGGTCGACTTTTGTATTCTAGTGTACACGGAGGAATTTAGGACGTTGTTAGTGTAGCTTTATTAAAATTTCCTTTTTTAATCTGTTTTAGTAAGATGATTTTTATTTTCAAAGTATTCAACATGCTTCTATTTCCTCATCGTTTTACATGTTAAAGTTCTAAACATTTATATAGGCTCTTTGCAAATACGTGAATGACACAAACCCCATAACCGGAGCAAGCACCAGAAAGCGCCTGGGATGTGGGAATAGTCAAAGAAATGCATATGGCTCCCCGTCATCCCCTTTATTAAGTGCTCTACCGAGGAAACTTCTTGACGATGATGTATTCTGTGATCAAGCCACTGGCCTTTGTGATGCAAAGTGATTGTTCAAATCACATCAATGTAGATAAATATCTTGTAATAGAAAAAGAAATCATTGCTGTCTATTAGGCGGTCGTTTTTATTTGAAGTGAATACTACATGGTAGGTAGAGATTGTAAGAATTTTGGGTGACCCGAATTCTTTTGTTGAGATAATTGCAGAATTGTAATTAAAGTGCACATCAAGAGGAATTCTAGTTGGAATGCCTTGAGGAATTCTATTCAAGTTTAATTGTCAAATTCTATTTAAAGTTCAATTTTGAAGCTCATTGAGAGTTGAAATTTGAGTTAAACTTGAAGAGTTCAAATAAGAAAACTTTTAGGCATTTTATTTTATCTACAACTCTACTTTTAGGGATGAATTTTTCCCTATAAACATGAGACTCCTCTGTCAGTTTTATAAAAAAGAAATTTTGTTAAATTATGCTTGTTTTCTCCATATTGTTCAGTAATAAATATCGTTCCTCTACAATTAACTCTTTTTGTTATTTTTTACTTTAAATCTTGTTTTGTGGTGTGATCTTGTTTATTTCAATATTGTCATTAAATCTTTTTTTTTACAATTCAGTTTGGAATCAACAGGTAGTATCGGAGTTTTCGCAACCAACAAGTAGTATCAGAGCTTGGTTCTTTTTCTGTGGATTGGTTGAGGTTTTTTTAGAGATGACTACCATGAGGTATGACATTCCGCTGTTGGATCGCAATACAAGATTTTCTTTGTAGCATGTAAAAATGAGGACTATTTTGGCGCATTTGGATTTGAAAGATGCGTTGCTAGGTTTTGAGAAGATGCTAGTTGATTAGACGACAGAAGAGAAATAACGAGGGGACGAAATGATTTATCGCAGATCCATTTTCATTTATCCAACAATATTCTACAGGATGTCTTGAAGGAGTAAACAGCGGTTGTTTTGTGGTTGAAACTGGAGCAGTTATGCATGACTAAAAGTTTCATGAGCAAACTGGCTTTTAAGCAGAAGCTGTATTCCCATCGCATAGCGAAATGAGGGTCGTTGGAAGATCATGTTGCCGTGTTCAAGGAAGTAGTTGCAGATTTGGAGACGTTGGAGGTTAAGTACGATGAAGAGGATCTTGTCTTGATCCTGTTGTGTTCATTGCCTGGTTCTTATACGTCGTTCGGGATACCATCTTGTATAGCTGAGATACTTTGACAATAGACGATGTCTATGATGCTTTGCACTCAAAGGAAAATATGAAGCACTTGGTTGGAGCTACATTGAGGGATGGGAAAGCTCTTGTATCTCATGGTGGTCGATGGAGAGGTAGATCAAAAGTTAACTTTAGCAATGTACTTTGTTACTACTACAAACGGAAGAGACATATTTGGAAGAATTGCGATATGTTGCAGGCTAGAGGTGATTTAGCTACAAATCGTGGAGCGCAACGTTTGACTTCAGACGAAACCAATGTAGTTGAGAATTTTTTAGATGGCGGAGATGTGATGTTGACCGTGGTATCTGATGTAAAATCTAGGTTTGACGAGGAGTGGATTCTTGATTCGGCATGTTCGCATCATATGTGTTTCGATAGGAATTTATTTTAGACATATGAGGCTGTTCAGCAAGGTGAAGTTATAATGGGAAACAACCAATCTTGCCGTATTCCTAGAATTGGTCGAGTCAGATTGCGGTTGGAGGATGGGACGATCAGAACACTTGGTCAAGTTCAACATGTTCCAGATCTGAAGAGAAATCTCATCTCATTGAGTGTCTTGGATGGAAAACGTAAATTTTCTTGAGGAGGTGGAGTCTTGAAAGTCTGAAAGGGAGTTCGGATTGTACTGGAGGGATGGAGAAGATCCCAATTCTACATTTTGCAGGGGAATGCAGAACGAGTTAAGATAAGACAATTGGACAAGTTTAGTACCGTAGTAAAAGTTCAATTTGGTACAATACCTCTTGTGTTGGGTTCTGAGTTGGTTCAGAACACTACTAGGAAGAGTGTTGGTGATTCCGCTTTGCCACCAATTTCAGCGGGTACACTGTGTTCAGTTACTGGGATTGGACTCATTGAGCGTAGGTACCGTGATGTCAGTAATGTCTGGGATGCTTCTAGGGACGTTGAAGGCGACAGTTTCAGCAAGGGGTCTTCTCATCAAACATCTGGTTTGATTCTTGCTACAAGATGTGTTTCGACCCTGTGTGATCAACATTAATTTCGAGGAGGAATTCTGAGAACCCTAGGATTGGGTTCGGGTGTCACTTGTGGACACCGGGTAGAGGACGATTGTTTAGTTCATATAGAATGTTTGGTTACTGCGTTGAGGAAATTGACATGTTTGGTTACTGCGTTGAGGAAATTGACCAGTTCATTTCGATGTGGACGAATTTAAAAACTAAGAGTTTCGTTTGGTTGCACCAAAATTCGTGTCAATGTGGAGATTGTTAGAATTTTGGGATGACCCGAATTCTTTTGTTGAAATGATTATAGAATTCTAATTGAAGTGCACATCAAGAGAAATTCTAGTTGGAATGCTTTGAAAAATCCTATTTAAGTTTAATTGTCAAATTCTATTTAAAGTTCTATTTTGAAGCCCATTGAGAGTTGGAATTTGAGTTGGATTTGAAGTGTTCAAATAAGGAAACTTTTAGACATTTTATTTCATCTACAACTCTACTTCTAGGGATGAATTTTTTCCTAAAAATATAAGGCTCATCTGTCAATTTTGTAAGAAGCAATTTTGCTAAGTTAAAATTGTTATCTCCATATTGTTCGGTAATAAACATCGTTCCTCTGCAATTAACCCTTTTTTGTTCTTCTTTACTTTAGATCTTGTTTTTGTTGTGCGATCTTGCTTACTTCAATATTATCATTAAATCTCATTCTTTACAATCTGGTTGGAAATCAACAAGTGATATTGGAGCTTCTGCGCCCAACAAAGATATGCCACAAACAGTTTGATGTTACAACTCAAGACCTAAGATCAACACAGATTTTACAGAATATAGACAAAAAACAAAAGGCATCAAGTTCTCATTGATCGAGCTCAGAACATGCATTGTACGCGTCTGTACAATGTTAATAGCTCACAAAACCACAATCCCAAACTACAACACAGAGGCAGTAACTCAATGGATCGTATCTTTCCCAAAACACCAACACAAACCCTTTCAAACTAAAACTGAAGAATCACCAAGATTCAACACACTCAAATTCACCAGAAAACCAGAGGTTTACAGTCTAAAGAACAAGAAACACGAGGAAGAATAAGAAAGGGCAGAGACACCAAGTCTCGAAGGAGAGAAGAGAAACCCTAGAAGGTTCTACACTGGAAGGACACCAAAAAATGAAAACCAATGGGCCAAAAATATCTCAAACCAAGTAATATATAAGAGTGGTCATCATCGTAGATGTTAGGTTTAGGAGATCTAACGATCTAGAGCCACACACATGTATCATTAGATTTGGGCCGGGTCGTAGCATATTTAAACATTGCGTTATTGGGCAATGGGCTGTAGCATCAGTCGGATATAAGATTTCATCATAGCCCAAATTGGACCAGATCAATAAAACAATTGGCATCACAGCTCAATATTTTACGATGTTCAAACCTCATTTGTTCGAACAATGAAATTCATAGACACCAACTTATATTGGTAGACACGTTGAATTGGTTATTGTCTAAATTGTGGTTGTCCTTTTCTATGACAATATGAGTAGCGCAGAATTTCTTGGCCATTAAATGTGGTCCCAATTATTGTGATATGCTTATTATAATCCCTGTGAAGATTTATACTTTGAGACATCAATAGTTGGAGTAATGATTAGGCATGGAGTTTAATCTTCCTTAATCCCTTCTCTTGTCATTTTGGCCATGTTAGGGCCAAATCACAACGATTACTATATGCAAGATGTAGTAATGAGGTCGCCGTGCCAGTCTTATCTGACGCCAAGAAAAAATGCAAGCCATTCTTACCGATTCCACGGCTAGCCACCGCAAAGTTGGTCCAACTCATTTTATGCATCTAATTGCAACGTGTTTCTTTGGGTTGCCTAAACTTTACTCAACCTCCCTGAACCCCTTCTACACACACAAATTTCAAAAATATAAAATGATATGTAAATTAGAAAAACACCCTCTTTTCACATGGATTATGAAGAGGCCTCAAAATGAAAAGTTTTCAATGATTAAAGGAAGAATTCAAATTGCTTGGCGTCTAATTGATTCTTTTTTAAAGTGGATCAACATGAAGATCTCAAGTGGAAGTGGGAAACAAACAATAACTGCAAATAGTAGACTGTGTTATCTTCTAGCCATCATCTTTTCCTTTGTTTTAATTTTAATTTTTTTAAAAATATATTTTCTCTTATTGGAACTCGAGGGCAAAATTGTCCTTTTGGTATATTTAACGATAACTAATCCTTGATTTCCAATAGAAATAGACCCCAATTTGGTATATTGTATTACTTAGTTATGTTACGCAAAAATAAATTCTTATTTCAACCATCCTCCTATTTTCTGATCGTAACCCAAGAGGTAAGGTCTAAGACTTAGTTCTCCTCCCATGTGTACTTTATTTTTGAATCAATAAACATGGTAGAGGTGTCACTAGCCCTCCTTTTTTGGGTTTAAGTAGAGACCTGAATACAATAGTATTTTACTTTTAAAATTAAACGAAAATAACATCAATTATCAACAACATTTTTCGTTTAGTAGATATTTTCGTTAGTCAAGCTGAATGAATTAATTAGTGAAATAAAATGAAGTTTAGTGTAACAATTTTTTTATTTTTTGGAGATCAAGCATTACTAATCCTTTTTCGAGCAATCTGAAGAAATTTTGGGTTTTTAAATCATGATAATGTTTTGTTTTAAAATCTTCTTCCATGCTCAGGTGAACTTTTTCTCAAACCACCATGATAGTCGCTGAATATGCAATAAATTAAATGTTTAATGATATATCTTATAAATTATATACATCATGCATGTGTTAGTATACATAATCATAAATAGAATAATTTACTTTAATATTTTTGAACATGAACCTGGAAGAAAAATTCAAAATGGTTTAGGTCGACAAAGATCAGGTCGAGCCTAATGAAAGATGAATTTTGTCCGCTTTAACAGAGAATATCTTTCAAGACATCATCGAAGTTGCACCAGCAACTTTTACAAGACATTGAAACTCGTACATAGTTCACAAGATATTAGAGATCGTCAAATGATGAAACTGGTGGAATCAAAGACGTTTATACGTATTGTACAACTACATTGAGTGATTAAAAACCCTCGTTGTTGGCTCGTCTCTTTTTAATAATCTTTTTAATAAGTCGTGCTTTATGAGATCACTAGCAACGAAGGAGTGGAATGAATGAGCCACTTTGGTCTCATGATTTATGCTTAACTTACCAAGAGATTTACTGATATTCCAAAATGCTAGTTGAAGATGCCACACAAGATTCAAGGGCACATCTTTTCCAGTTAGAGAGAATGCAGTTCAAGATCCAAAAAGGCCAGAGGCTTTGAATGATTTTATAATTCCTATATCTTAAATTACGCATTTTATTTAACTATGGTCTCAATTATGTTTTGGGAAGTGTTTAAGGACTAATTTTACTATTTCATTAGACTTGGCATTAGAGTTTAAACATCTCTTGCTTTCATGTACTTCAATTATTTTGTTATTTGAATAAATTGTCGAGGTAGGCAAATGATAAGGGTGTTACAGGGGTGCCAACATGGTTGAAATGTTTCGGTACATCTACTGATATCCATATTCGACATCTTTATAGGGGAAAAAAGGGAGCTTTGAGTTATGACTATAAGAATGGTACCTACACAGTACAAATGATGCACTATCACATGGACCTGTACCACCTCGTCAATTATATTAGTTACTTAGACTGAAAACAACATCTGCAATAAACCCTAGTGATTATTCATTACTCAACACACCGCATCAATGGGCATGTTCTGCTTCATTTGCCATTTGCAGAGGCTTAAAGTATTCATCACTCCCACTGTCTTCAAATAATGTAATAACAATGTTGCTGCATTTCATAATGCCCGAAAACGAAAGTTCATCAACTGCTAACACGATAGTTGAATTATAAGTCGAGATAAATAACAAATATGTTATTTTAAAAAACTACAAGTGTCAAGACGGTTGGTAACTAATCTATTACGGACAAAAGGCTAAGGTGCTATCGAGATATATACTTTACTAATAATGCATTTACATGGGACTTGGAGAAACAAAGCAAATGAAAAAATTCAAGAAGGAATGACTAAGGTAGAGGAGGAGCTACCAGCTCATCTAGTTTAATTTTGGGTATGCTTGATTCACATGTGGTTGGTACTTTCATGGCTTTGGTTGGAGAGATGGATACGAGGATAGTTCTTATACTTTACCAAGTATAAGTGAATATGCATGACGCTTTTGATTACACATGAAGATTGCAAAAAACTTATGAACTTTTTGAATTTAGGGTTCGTTCATAAATTTATATGATCTCCTTTAAATAGTGAGTTTGAAAGGGATCAAGAGTTGGAGAGAAACTTCGTTGAATGTATGACGACAAGGAATAAGGCTATGGTGCGTGAAGTCTAGTTATTTAAATATTTATTGTGCTTCACATTTCTAGATGGGTAATTTTTCTTTTTTGTTTTATACAAACTACTTTAGGTGGCATGTATTATTAATAATGAAATAAAATGGTACAGACTTTGGAGGGAATTGGTTTAACTTTCAGCTTAAGTTGTAATATAAAAAATCACCCAAATAATGGGATCAGTGAAGTAAAACTTGAAAAACTACACTTCATGAGATTTAGTGATACTCATCATTGATCATACGTCAGGTCTAGTATCCATTCAACTCTGAATCACTTTTACACTTGCTATTTAAAGGGGATCGAGTAAATTTGTTTTGGTACCCGAAGTTGGAGTAAATTTTTGTGTTCTATGTTTCCATTTATAAATTGCCACCTAGAGTGATTTTTGATGAAATAAATAAATAAATAAAAACAAAAAAAATAAAAACAAAAATCCAAAAACAAACAATGCATTAGTATGTAACTCTAGGCAGGATACAAGAAACAGCCTAGAATAATGTTAATAAACAAGTCGTGACACAATATAAATATGATTTAACCTTAAACTTGGTAAAAAGCACCTGTGTCTCTGTGTGTGGATAATGGATAATATAAAGAGGGCATGAGAGCACGCTGAATGATTATGTCTCATGTGCAATTGTCATTCCTTGAAAGAGACTTTCATGCTTAGAATTCAACCCAAGTAAAATCATGTCCTAAGTCAATAAAAGGCTGGCAAACAGCATTATTCTGTGTTTCTTATTCTCATTGCATAATTATACGCGGATGGAACCTCTGATTCCTTTTTCAGAGGTATAAATATATACAAAACTAACAGAATTTTCAAATGAACCTGAAAACAGTATTTTATGGATTCTTTCCCTGGCTCTATTCATTAATTTACAAAACTCTTCGTCTTTGAATCCAGAATTCGCGAGCTTCTGATGATTAAAAAAAATCCTACACGACAAAGGGTGAAATCTTGTACCATTTCCTTCTTCTTCTTCTTTTTTTTTTTTTAATTATACGCGGATGGAACCTCTGATTCCTTTTTCAGAGGTATAAATATATACAAAACTAACAGAATTTTCAAATGAACCTGAAAACAGTATTTTATGGATTCTTTCCCTGGCTCTATTCATTAATTTACAAAACTCTTCGTCTTTGAATCCAGAATTCGCGAGCTTCTGATGATTAAAAAAAATCCTACACGACAAAGGGTGAAATCTTGTACCATTTCCTTCTTCTTCTTCTTTTTTTTTTTCCCCTTCTTTTTAGTATTAGTGGTTTTTTTCCCAATAGAAACCCACACGCTATCATTATTGTGCTTCGGCTAGCTGGGATCTAACACTACGAGAGCCATTCCTAGAATCTGAGTTAGGTTCAACCTTGTTGTGAACATAGTCATAACTTCTTATACGTTCAGTAAACTCGACTTAAGACGCGTTCTTTCATGTTCCTTTTCTAGATTTTTGTGGGTGTTTTTTCTTCATCTTAACCTAATGGTTTGACAATGTCTTCTCTTTCATACCGTGCCATTGCCCCACTAGAAATGTCATGCAGAGCTACAACTATACTTATTATGTCATATCAGTAAAATGCCCTGTAAGCTATAGTTTATGGAACATTTGGTTAAATCCTTTCAGCTTGGCTTGATTTTTGATATAATTTTCTCTGGTTGTAGCAACTTTTATAATTCAATAGGGTTCACTTCTAGACCAGATTAGCTAGCGGCATACGTGTGAAATCAATCTTCAATTGTTTTCTCTAGCATGTGTGTTCCATTTCACCTCGCTGAGTACCAGCCTTTACAATTTCTTAGATTCCTTCCATTTCTCATTTGTTTTTCAGTGAAGAAAAAGTTTTGAAATATGATAGAAGATTAAGGTGACAAGTAGGTCAAACTTTCCTTGTAATTGTCTGTTAATAGCTGTATATTAGATTGATTCTAAACTGGAAGAGGCATAAGCCTCGAGTGATTTTTCTGAGTTACATTCCAATTGAATTTATTTTTCTGAGTTACATTCCAATTTTATTTTGCCTTTCAGGGTGCCAAAATTTAAACTTTCCATGTTTAATTTGAATTATGAGAATGAAGAGTAAAATTAATGGGCAGGTATCGTGGAAGATAAAATTAGAATTTACTTAACGGCAGGGCTGTTCACGCCACTCTTTTCTTTACAATTTATTTTTGCATTTTAGTATTTCTCCGTAGGAACTTAGTCGACCATGTTATCTAAGGGATATATATCTCTATAGTTTGGCTTGTTGTCATTAAAATCTTAGGGTTTATAAGCTTAGGAATCTGTCATTTTTCTTTTGACATTTCATTTCTTTTCTGATCTCTCAGTGTGTGTGTATATCTCCTTTGTACTTCTCACACAACAAATGGTCCATCAGTAAATTTCCGTTGCTATTGGCACACATTCTAGTATGATCATACATAGATAGGAAAGTGAACGATTCTCTCTTAAAATCTAATGGCATCAAAGCCTCACGAGACCCTATTTACAAAAACAATTCACATTACCTACATAAGAAATGCTCGTATCATTCCCTAATTCCTTTGATACAAAAATTAATTTCCTAATTCCTTTGATACCAAAACCTCTCTAACCATACAATCCTTTCGTCAATGCACCTCGACCGTAGTTTTTACCTCCACTCCCAATGTGAAAAAGGCAAATTTAATAAAAAGCAAATCTTAGATGCAATAAAGGAAATACATATTCATCTGTCTCATAGATGTGCCACCAGCATATGCTTTACAACATTATAATGTGCACATACATATTAACATGTCTACATCATTAATTTTGCAATTCAAGTTTTATTATGTACACCAACCAGATCTTCTATTAACTGTTCTTTCTTGATATAATTAGTATAGATATTAATTTTGTTACTTCCACAGATCAACTTGGGAACTGGAGGTGGAAACTGAGGCAAGTTCTGCAGCCATATTTTGTGCCTTCAAATCATTCTGCATTATGCTCATTGGATCCGAAACTTGATCAGACTGCTCATTTGAATAAGCATTATCCTTTCTAGCATCATCTTGGCTGAGCTGAGAAGCAACAAATTTGTCGAGAACTCGCCAGTCAGTGACTTGATCATTGCAGTAATTCTCACTAATGTGCAATTGATTATTTTGATGCATATTTTCTTCCTGTCCAAGTGTTGAGGACTGCAAAATACCGTAAGGGATTAGTGAGCTACAGGCTGTGGATTGTGGAATTTTCGGACTTTCTAATTCGGGAAGCTGGAGGAATGCATCATGAGGCATGTTGTATTGCAACTCGAGTTCTTGTTTGCAGGTGTAGTGAGGTTGATATGAATTAGTATAAGGTTGAGATACCGGCCTCGGGGAATTAAAATCTGGCATGAAAGAAACTTGATCATCATACCAACATAGGGATTCATTCTCTCCCTCCTTCCTTGTAGTTACCATTTTCTTCATGAAAACCCTGCACACCACCCATCCTTCTTCCTGCAACTCCAATTAAAAACCTTCATTAGGCATTAATATTCTCTCATTCGAGCAAAAGCACGATAATCGTACAATAGTTTGAAATGCAATATATTTGAATTAAATCATCTTGTCTAAAAGTTGAAGAGATCATATTCTGTAACTTAAATTTAAACTTTGACACGCCTAATCGTGTGCAACCCGATTCATATTTTTATGAAAAGTTCAATGGGTGCTTATATTTTCTAAAAGGGTGAAAGCGAAATTCTTTATTCCAAAGAATTATGCTCTCCAAGGAGAATCTTGAGAATAATGTATTTACATAGTATATATGTTGACGTATATAGCTAAATACCATTATATTGAACATGAATACATTTTTCGTGCATAAATTTAGGGCATGTTTAACACATTAGACAAGATGGACAAGATATTAGGACAAAGATTTTAACCTCTTCCTCTTATACAGGCGACTATTATTAAGTTTAGCGTACCAAATATGTGAAAATTGTATTTAACATTTGTGATAACCATGCTCATACGCAAACCTATAGATTTGATTGAGACTTGCCTGGGAAGTGCCATTTTCATTTGTTTCAAGTCGATACTCATGCATTATCCAGTCTGATTTTTGTCCATTTGGGGCTCGGCCTTTATAAAATACCAAGGTCTTTCTCATGCCAATCAAACTATGCTTAGAATAAATTGCCTTGTCTCTTCCTGTAGCCTTCCAGAATCCTGCTTTTGTAGCTCTATTCGTACGAGTTCCAGTAGGATATTTCTTATCTTTATGACTAAAGAAATACCATTCATTTCTTTCTTCGGTTCCTATCCTACAAAGTTCTGTTTAAATTCAGGAAAGAAAAAAAGAGATTAATAAGGTTAATTTAAAAAATCTAATGAAATAAAAAAATGTAAAAATGTAAAAGAATACAACGAAATAACAAACTAAGCGTAGTTGGCTAAAATATATAGGAATTAATGACGATAAAAAGAAACTGTATGTACCTTGAAGATCCCATGGCTCAATTCTGTAAAGATCGATGTCTTTTATGATATCTAGGTCAATTCTTTTCGAAGCGACCTTTTTTCGAAGATAGTAATCAACCAATTCTTCGTCTGTAGGATGGAATCTAAAACCAGGAGGTACGTGTGAAAAAGAATTCATGTTTCAAATCTAGCTTTGTACCTGCGTTTTTAAGTTAAAACGAATGTAAGTTATATATTGAAGTTTGAAAATTAATGAAGGCCAAAGAGAACATAATCTGTATTTTATATGTCATGCAGAAAATTTTACGAGTGCATGCAAGAGAACCTGCCTGTGTGTTCATGTAGGAGTTATTCAACTAATAAATGTCCATGAAGATAGCATGTTATCATATGCATGGACTGTTCCGTCTAAAAAAATTTAAATTGTTAAAAATATACATTCATTTGTATTTATATTTCCAATACGTCCTCCCATATGTAGAAGAATAATTTTTCATGAAAAAATTTTAGTCGACTCTAAATTCGTTGATACAAGACTTGTAAATTAAGTGTTGTTGAATTGTTGAAGAAAAGATAGGAGTAAAGTTTTCGCATATCTTGACATAAACCCATAAAATCAGAATACCAAAATTAAAGAGTAGAAGCCAAATGAAGAAAAAAGGGAAACATATCAGGGAGTTTATTATGTTAATACTTTATCCGTCCCATAAAGATAAGTTTGTTTTCATTTTTTCTCTATCCCAAAAGTTATAGGTCACTTTTTTTGTTGAAGGTAACAGTTGATTTCTTAATTTTTTAATATGTTCCTAATGTACCTTATTATCAACAATTATGAACACTCTTATTTAGAGGGAGTTTGGGAAACATTTTTATGTAAAAATGTATTTTTGAATAGTAAATTGATGGGATATGTGTGATTGAAAAATAAGGAAATTTTTTTATTTATGTGTAATATTATTTTAATAAAGAATGTGTGGTTGAAAAGAAGAGAGAGAAAAATGTATTTTGAGAAAAATAGATACCAAACGGGGTCTTAATTCATTATTTAATGTAGGGGTATATTTGAAAAATGATAAAAAAGAAAAAAAATATATTTACAACTATATTAATTATATTTTTTTAATCCATGTGAAAATAGAAACAAGCTTATCTTTTTGGGACGAGTGAAGTATTTTACACATTAAATTTCAAGTATAAGAAAAATAAAGGAAGTGCCAAAGGGATTGAAAAAAAAAAAAGAATGAGAATAATATGGGAAAATCTCAATTAATTTTACGTATACATCTTGAATATATCACTCTAAACCTATACTATATATAAAAGTATCCAAAACTAGATTATGTTTTCATATTTATAGAATTCATGAGTCATCTTTGTATATGGAAGAAAAAGCATGCAACCTTTAATTACATGAAGATGTGGGAAAAACTACTCAAGTTTGCTTTTGCTCGAGGCATGGGATGTGAATAAAGACCATACACGAAGATTGCTCCACTCATAATGTTAATATCACAAACAAGCTTTAATGAGATCATGTAGCCAAAAGAAACTTGGAAACTTTTGGAAAAAACTTAGATTTTATTCAAAATTGATAAAGAAATTAATACAACTTCTTGATTAAAGAATTTATCCTTTCGCATAAGTTATTTGCGTTTGTAGGATAATTTATTGGTAAATTAGAGAGATCAGGCTTGATCAACATGCAAAGGGATTGAAAAAAAAAAAAAAAGAATGAGAATAATATAGGGAAAATCTCAATTAATTTTACGTATACATCTTGAATATATCACTCTAAACCTATACTATATATAAAAGTATCCAAAACTAGACATATCAAACAATTAGAATTTCATTATTAGAAAATATATTCAAGAATGAATCCCAAAAAAAAAATTATATGCGAAGACAATCAAATAAAGAAGAAGAAAAATGATATTGAGGAAACCTCGACGGTCGTCTATGTAGCGAAGCCCTTAAATTTCACCGATCGAACTGGTTATCCTACCCTTGTTTACAAACAATAAGTGAAAAGAAAAGGAAAACCTTTTTGAAGCTTTCTTGTCAGTTTCTTGCAAATTTTAAAGCCCTAAAAGAAAGAATTTTAGGACCGAAAATGTTTTCCTCGGGAAAACTTTGACACTTAAATTGTCAAAGAATGATCAGATCCTGAGGGAAAGTAAAAGGGAAGGGAAATGGAAAAGGAAAATCTCTTTTCCTCAAATCGGAAAAGACAGAAAAAATGGATAGGGTTATATACATACACACATATATACAGCCATGTTAAAAATGAAAATGAACTGATCTTCTATACATCAATATGTGTGTTCTCTTTGTATATAAGTTTTAATCACCTTGTGTTTTAAGTAGAAATCTTGATTGGCGGAGAAGCTTTTCGCCGGAGAAAGTGGTGGCAGAATACGCCTCCACCACCGCCCACCAGCAAGTGATAGAGACCAGTATTCTTGTTTCTGGCTTCTTCTCTATTATATTGAGCTTGAGAGAGAGAGAGAATTGTGGAGGAATTTTTTAACAAAGGCTTTGTAAAGAAACAAAAAACTAATAAGGAGACTGCACACCCGACCAAACACAAAAAGAATGTTTATTAAATAACTATTAAAAAAACCTTTTAGCAAAAAAAGTATAAATGTGCTTATTCAAAAAAAATTTGTGTGCATTTTGTGCATTTTAAGGGTAATATTTCACCTCGAATGAAGACGAAGTTAATAGACAACAAGAGTTAATATGCCCTAAAAAATGGTAGCTTATTTGAGCACACTAATCTTGGGAACTAAATGCTCGTCAGAAATTTAAAATAGTGAAATTGTTCGTTTACGCTACTATATTAAGATTTGAAGTTTCATCTCTTTCAAGTATAAACCTTGTTAGAAAAATAACTCAAACTTTTATATGTTGTGTAGATGTTTCGTCTTTAACTAAAGTGGGATATTACCCTTACTATCCGCCCATTTAGTTTTGCAGACAAAAAATAGTATTCTAAAAGACGTAAAGCATAACAAAATGACAATATCTAATCTTCAAATCTTACGAGCCTAGGCGTGCCTGGGCGAAGTTAGGCATAAAGAGGTCTTTTTAAATATTATTTAATTATTCAATAATCATTAAATAAATGAAATAATGCACAAAAACAATAAATAACGTAATTACTTAATTTCTTGCAACTACACGATTCCAAATTTCTAAAAACTAAACAATTGAAAAATAAAAGCACAATATCCTCTTTAAGGTAAATGGACCCCAAAAATTGTCCAAACTAATTTAGAGCCCAGCTTACAATAGCCATTAGGTCAAAAAATGACTTCAAAAAATAATAATAATAAAAAAAGAAAAAGAAAAAAGCATGTGTCTATTGGTGCCTATGTCCACATTAGAGTCAAAATAAGAGTTAATTGCATTTTCTTCACACGTTGTCTATATGTGGAACTTTTTGAAAATGCCACACACCTCTGCCACGATGCAACAACGTCTTATAGAATACTGCAAAAAAATAAAAAATAAAATTCCTTAGAAGTGAATTTACAAATATAAATATGCTTAATTAGATGAAAAATAAGATCGAACATTTTTATAATTTTGATCTGTGATTATTTTTGGTTTGCTAGAATGGAATATAAGACGACGAAATAGTTAAAAGAAATTAATTGTATTCAATGTTTTAATTTGTTGTACATAAGTTGTTTTTGTAATGATTATGTTGTCATTGTCACTTCTCTAAGTTGTCGTCACAATAATGTGATTTTTATTCTCAAGAGAATGAATTTGTAGCATTATGTTAAACGAAAAGAGAAACTCTAAATTATTTCAGACTTTGAGATTTTTTGTCTTCTACCCAATAAAACTAAATTTGGAAGAGAACTACATTCAAAGATTCAAACTTTTACTTATTGTGTTATATAGGGTTGGAAATGGTCCGGTTCGGTTCGATTCTGACGAGAATCGAACTGATCCGAAATTTTCTGGTATTTAAGAAGTGGAACCGTCGGGTCCAAATTTAATTATGGAACCGTTTGGGTTCGGTTCCATTCGGTTCGGTTCGGTCCGGTTCGATTCCATTCGGTTCCGTATTATAATTAAATTTTTTAATATATACAAAGTTACGTTAATTTAATTAATGATATATTTAATATTAGCTCTTACAAAATAACGTAGTTCAATCTTATGTGTTTCACGTCTCTTTCTAATGAATTCTTCATAAACTTGATTATTAAAATCACAGAAAGAGAAAGATAGCGAGTTCAAAATAATTAAGAGAGATGTTGTAGAGTTTTAATTCGATCATGGTCCGGTTCGGTTCGGTTCGATTCTGACGAGAATCGAACTGACCCGAAATTTTCGGGTATTTAAGAAGTGGAACCGTCGGGTCCAAATTTAATTATGGAACCGTTTGGGTTCGGTTCCATTCGGTTCGGTTCGGTCCG